GGACCAGGGGTACAGTCAACCCGTATAGTAAGGATGCGGGGTAAGGATGCACGGGCCTTGGATGTCCGTTCCGAAGCTTCCCGAGCGGAGCGCAGCCAACGGAAGTGGTAAGGATAGACCGACGAGGCAAAGATGCGATGGTACCCTTGGGAAGGTCGCCCATCCATACTCTGCGGGTCGACTGTAGAGTTGGGTCGGGCATGTCCTCCTACAGGCGGATTTTGGAGGAACAATGGAAATAATCAAAACAAGATCACGAGAATCAAAAGAGTACGATAAGTCGTCTCCGGACCATTTTCTCACTAGTCTTGAGTCTTCCTCCTGGAGGAGGACATGCTCGACTTCAGGGTAAAGGAAACAGGAGCGGGGGCGGAGAAAACTATGAAACAACCTTTGGGAACAGTTGTGATTCTTCTCGAGCGGCGCAAGATCGCCAGAGCTGCGTCTCTCTTGACACCATGCGGGCCACAGCAGGTTGCCAACATTGAAACGCCGGGAGCGCTGCTCCTCTCCTGAGAGAAGACGGCGGGGAGGGCTGGTCCTCTCCTTGTCACTCCGGGGCTCACATGGCCCCTTTCGTCCGATCCCCTCCGAGTGAGGCTACCGCCTCCGTAGAGGCCTCCCAGATGGGGAGCGAGCAGATCGGGTCGGAGGATCGCGCCACATCGCCGATGGATCGGTGCTGTCGGCGTGGAAACAATTTGGCTCCACATCGAGCCGCGTCGCCGATGCATCGGCAACGCGGCGAGATCCTTCGACACCATCCCACTCGGACTCCATCTTCGCAGTCCCCCGACGTCATGATTTTTCGTTACGACGTCGACCTCAAAAGGTAGGGTGTTGCTTGAATTGCCCCTAGCCCAAGGTGCCCCCCCCGGACATCCAAGGAGGCTTCCACGGCGTCCCGAGCACCCCTCACGAGGCCCACAGGGCCCCAGGAGCTCCAAACCTGGACGAACAGCCTCCTCCTCCTCCTCCTCCTCCTCCTCCTCCTCCTCCCCTCCCCTCCTCCTCCTCCTCCTCCTCCTCCTCCTCCTTCCTCCTCTCCTCCTTCCCCTCCTCCTCTCCTCCTCCTCCTCCTCCTCCTCCTCCTCCTCCTCCTCCTCCTCCTCCTCCTGGGGGCACCTGGGGCCAAGGGCACCTCCGGCAACCCACGAAAAGGTCTCGACCCACGCCCTGGAACCAGCTCTTGCTCCCGAGTCCTCTTCGGACGGCCCCGGGGCCCGGGGACGGCTCCGCAGCGACAGAACCTCCAAAAAAGTAGGCCTCCAGCCCGCGGCTCGCGCACGACGCAGGGGGGGCCCGGGGCTGGGAGGCGCAGGTCTCAAAGAGGAGATCCTCGGCGGCAGCTCGTGGGGGCCTCCCGTGCCATCTTGCGAATCGACGCTCACGGGAGCCTCCCATGCCATGTTGCCAACTCTTGCGATAGGATGCGTTCCGATGTTCTCGATAGATGCGATCGGTGCTATCTCATCGACTCTCGGGCGTTAGCCGACGCTAAAAGCGGAATTGAGAGGGCACACCAGGGCCCCAAGGTTTGCTACCGAAAGAGATCTACGACAAAACGGATTTGCCCCGATGTTGCCGTCAACGCTGCGCGACCAAAAAACCCAGCATGCTCGGTTGCGTTGTTTCCGTAGCTTCGACGACGGATTCAATGCTGGGGTAAGTCAATGCTATATTCCTCCCCCCAGGGAGGCCCCCGAGAGACGTCGGAAGAGACCCCAAACAACATCCTTGAGGACTCTGGCCCACGTCAGAATCGTCGTCGTCGCCGCCACCGTTGTCGCCGCCGTCGTCGTCGTCGTCGCCGTCGACGTCGTCGTCGTAGTCGTCATCGTCGTCGTCTCCCTTCAGGGTCGGCGGCGCTGGTCGTGAGGGTTTCGCCATCAATTATGCAGCCGATCTCCTCCTCGAAGGCTCGTCCGTCCCGACACGAGGGATCCCCCCGCGCGCACTGGCGGATCAGCACATGAACGACGAGCAAAACGGGTCTTGCGCGGGATGGCGCAGCGACCCCACGCGGCGGTTTACGTTGGCCGCCAGCGCGGCACGCTGCGTCGGCAACGAGGGCGCTTGCGCGCGACCGCGCGCGGGGAGCCTACGCGCGCATGTCGGCGCAGACGACCCCGTCGTCTTGTCGTCGCTCACATGGGGGGGGAATCAGCTCGCGGAGCTAATGGGGCCCTGGGAAACAAAAATCAATTCACACCAGTAAAAAGGACCCCCCAGATTTTCAAATACTTTCTGGGCTTCTGTCTTCCCCCCCACACCGCCCATATCTTCCCAAATCTTCCCATATCTTCTGGGGAATCGACGATTCATTGAGTCTGCGTGATTCTTCTCCTCCTGAGTAGCTGGTTCCTCTGGCGCCCCCCAGCGCTGGGCGCCGGTGCGTCGAGGCGCGGGCCCGGCGGCGGGTCCGAGACCAGCTGCGCGCAGCGGCGTCCGCAGGAGGAGGAGGGGGAGGAGGAGGAGGATGGGGAGGAGGAGGCGGAGGAGGAGGAGGAGGAGGAGGAGGGGGAGAGAAGAAGGAGGAGGGGGAGGAGAAGGAGGAGAGAGAGGATGATGGCCGCGTGCCTGGGGCACGAGTCGAACCACGCGGCCCCTGGTCGCCCGCGCGTCCCGCGCGGGCACGGGGGTCCTGCGCCTCCAGCGGCGAGCTCAGGACCCTCGACCACGGGGGCCCTGTGCCTCCAACGGCGGGATCAGGGCGCCCGACCGCGAGGTCGAACACGACCTGCTTGCCGTCGCCGCCGGTGGATCTTCACGCCGTCCAAGTAGTAGGACTGCTTGAACCTCTGCGACTCGAGGAATCGCCTATGGGGGAGAGGTCGAAACGCACGGCCTCGATGTGCTGCGCGACCTCCGCCATGTCCACGCCGCCCCGGCACGCCATGTTGAAGACCTTCACAGCCTCCGACATCTCCGCCTCCACCGCCTCGGAATCGCCCGACTCCGCGTGCGACCCCTCCATGTCGAAGTTCTCCACGCCGACGGAGAGCATCTGCGACCTCCTTTGCACGAGCGGCTGCACCGCCCGCCCGCGCCGAACACCAGGGAGGTCGAGAGAGGACTCGACCCACAGCTGCTACTCCACCTCCTTGGACTCCGCCGCCACGCGGATGTCGGAAACCTGCTTCTGCAGCGGCGCCACCTTCGCTGACCCATCGTCGCGGCACCTTCTCCTTCAACACGTGCGTCTGGAAGTCGGCCTTGTGCCCGTCCGCCTGTGCGTTGTCACCCCCGTCGAGCTGCTCCAGCAGGACGTCGACCGCGTCGCGGCTGGCGGGCTCAAAAGGCGCGGCCTCACCCCGCAGTGGGAAGGCCTGCACCTTCAACTGGGCCTCGAGGTCGCTGGCCTTCACGCCGACCGCCCGCGGCAGGGCCACGCTAGCCGTCCCCGGCGGCGGCGCGTGCCTCGCCTGGTTGCCCAGCGCTAGCGCCTCCTCCGCCTGCTTCACCACCGCGCCTGGGCAGCGCAGGAGACGGGCGGCCGCCAGCCCTTCGCCGAAAGAAGGGAAGTAGCAGCCGAGCATGTCTCCGATGCGCCAGTGCGCGTCCAGCGCCACGCGAAGCGCCTGCGCCCGCCGCGCCAGGGCTGCGGCACGAGAGGAGCCCATCTCCTCGCGGCGCTCCCTGCGGAGGCGCCTGGCGAGGGACCGCGCGCTCGCGGCCGCCCAAGCCCGGCCGCCGCCGCTGCCGCCGCCGCCCGACATGGCCACTTGCGCGCCCGAGCGCTCCCAGGCGCGCAGCGCGAGGGCCTCCCGGAAGCCAGCCTGCTTGAGCCAAAATGGCTACGGACGGAGTGGAGAGGAGGGGGAGGAGGAGGAGGAGGAGGAGGAGGAGGAGGAGGAGAAGGAGGAGAAGGAAGAGGACGAGGAGGAGGAGGAGGAGGAGGAGGAGGAGGAGGAGGAGGAGAAATAGGAGGAGGGAGGAGGAGGAGGAGGAGGAGGAGGAGGAGGAGGAGAAATAGGAGGAGGAGGAAGAGGAGGAGGAGGAGGAGGAGGAGGAGGAGAGGAGGGAGGAGGAGGGGGAGGAGGAGGAGGAGGAGGAGGAGGAGGAGGAGGAGGAGGAGAGGAGGAGGAGGAGGAGGAGGAGGAGGAGGAGGAGGAGAGAGAGAGAGAGGAGGAGGAGGAGGGAGGAGGAGGAGGAGGAGGAGGAGGAGGAGGAGGAGAGGAGGAGGCGGAGGAGGAGGAGGAGGAGGAGGAGGAGGAGGAGAAGGAGGAGGAGGAGGAGGAGACGGAGGAGGAGGAGGAGGAGGAGGAGGAGGAGGAGGAGGAGGAGGAGGAGGAGGAGGAGGAGGAGGGCCCCCCCCCTTCTCCCTATCATCCTCCCCCTCTCGCTCGGCACGAGGTGGGGCCCCCGCACCGTTTGGAGGCCCCCGAGGCGCGAGCCCAAAGCGGCGCGAGCCCACAGATCGAGTAGGAGATTGACTATAGAATTGATGTTTACCCCAAAAGTGATTTTCTCGTCGAGTCGTACGTCGAATGTTCGAAGCCCAGACATGCGACGTCCTGTTTTTTTCGATACCGCATCCCTGGAAGTCCAGACCCTCCCCCCAGGGCAAGTTTTTCATCCTGAGTCGCTTCTGACGGTCAAGGGGCCCGGCGAGGGTCCGGCGAGGGCCCTCAGGGCCGAACATAGTGAAAAACCTCCGTCCTGAATCTTCCTCGACGCGATCCCGGGAGACAACCGACCATTCCCTGACCCCCCCTTCGCTCGACCCGAGACTCCGCCCCCTCGACCCGCCGAACCGACGAGGAGGAGGCGGCGGCGGAGGAGGAGGGAGGAGAAGGGAGGAGGGAGGAGGAGGAGGAGGAGGAGGAGGAGGCGGAGGAGAAGGATGAGGAGGAGGAGGCGGAGGCGGAGGAGGCGAAGGCGGAGGAGGAGGAGGAGGAGGAGGCGGAGGAGGCGATCGCCCCCGAGCCTCCGCACCCTCGGCCCGCCGCGGGCCTCCGCACCGCACCACTCGGGGGGGGGGGGCGGCGGCCGCCTGCCTCCCGGCCCCGCGACAGGCGCGCGCGCTGCGCGGCGAAGTCCACCCCGGCGAACTGCGCCGCGGAGAAGCCGCCTGGCCCCCGACGCCCGGCCGAGGACCGGGCACTGCAGCAGGACCCGAAGGGCCCCAGACCCCCTCGAGGACCGACTGCACACATCACGACGGGAGGTTTCTCCCGCCATCCTCGGCCTCGGGGGGCCCTTCCCGGGCCTCGGGGCCGTCAAGACACGACTCGGGATGAGGGACCGGTCCCGGGGAAGGGGTCGAGACCTCTGGGGGTCGACGCTGTAGAGAAATCGTGACGTCGGGGGTCTGGGGAGGTCCTGGCGTCGCGATTTTGTCGAAAAAAAGGGTATGTGTCGCCCCGTGTCGGGCCCGGGGGGGCCCTCACAGGTCGATCGGCTGAAAGAGTGGCGCAGAAAGATGGGGCCCCGGAGCTCCGGTCATGATTTTGTGCGATGTTGCGTTTTTGTTCGCAACGTCGGATCTGAAGGACTGGGTTTAGCGGGACCTGGTTTAGTGATGTGTACTTGGCGACGCTTCCCCCGCTCTATTCCACTAACAGGAACTGCCGCCGCCCGAAGAACGCCAGCTACTGGCAAACCTGCTTTACCGATTCTAGCAAATCTGGCGGGCTTCGGGGCTCAATCACTAACCGGCTCCCCTTACCCAGGGTCCTGGCTATACCTGGGAAGCCCAGACATGATCGCGATGTAAACAGAAAGCTCAGGACAGACGGGTTGTTGCTGCTGTTTTCAGTTTTCGGGAACCCTCGCCAGGCCCAACGGGACTGAGAACAAAAAACGGCTAGGGCACAAAGACGGCCCAGGAGGCCTCCAAGACGCCCAAGATGGCCTCTAAGACGGCCCTGGAGCACCCCAAGAGGGCCCCAAGTCGGCCCAGAGGCCCCCCAGACGGCTTCCGACAGCGTCAGACGGGCCAGGAGCCCACCAAGATGGCCAAAGTTGGCTCGAAGCTGGCCCAAGACGGCCCCAGAGGCCTCCAAGAGGGCCTCCAGGAAGGCCAGAAAAGGCAAAAAACATTGATTTGCCTTATGTTTTTGAAGGATTTTCGCATTCGCTTCTTCTCGGCCATCCGAAGGCCCGATACGGCCAAAGAGCCTTCAAACATCCCCCAAAGATCGCCCAAGAGGCTTCCAAGATGGCCCCAGAACGGCCCAAGAGGCCCCCAAGACGGCCCCAAAAGGCCCCCAAGACGGCCCAGGAGGCTTTTAAGATGCCCAAGATGGCCTCCAAGACGGCCCTGGAGCATTCCAAGAGGGCCCCAAGTCGGCCTGGAGGGGCACCCCAAACGGCTTCCGACGGCGTCGGACGGGCCAGGAGTCCACCAAAACTGCCGAAGATGGCCCTGAGATGGCCCAAGACGGCCAAAGAGGCTTCCAAGAGGGCTTCCAGGGCCGAAAAGGCCAAAACCATTGATCTCCAATGCGTTTTTGAAGGATTGAGACAATTGCTTTTCTTCTGCCTTCCGACGGCCTTCCGACGGCCCAAGTGCCCCCAAAGATCGCCCAAGAGGCCCAAGACGGCCCCCAGAGGCTCCCAAGACGGCCCAAGAGGCCTCCAAGACGCTCAAGATGGCCTCCAAGACGGCCCAAGAGCCCTCCAAGACGTCTTCCAAGAAGGCCCGAAATGGTCCAAATGGCCTCCAGACGGCCAAGATGGCTTTCAAGATGCCCACATAATCCCCGAAGGCTTTCCAAACCGATTCGAGGAACACATGGTCTGATAGCTTGGAAGGTCTGGCCTCAACGTTCGGCCACACAGGCGCTTCCACAAAGGCAGGGGGCGGTGGTGATTCGCCGTAGGCGTCTTAGGTCCGCCGCCCCCTGTCGATTCATCGCAGGGGTGCCTGGCGTGCTGGACTTCTTACGGTTTGGTTTTGGTGCTTTTTCCCAACGAACTCCTCCTGGCGCTTCGGCCCGTCCCGCCGGGGTCCCGGGAGGGAGCTCCAGGCGCGCAAACGACCTCAACGTCCAGAAACAGTTCTCCAAGACGGCTCAAGATGGCCTCCAAGATGGCCACGTTGGCCCAAGATGGCCTCCAAGATGGCCCAAGATGGCCTCCGAGTTCGCCCAAGATGGTCCAAGACGGCCTCCTAGACGGCCCAAGAGAGTCCAAGACGGCCCAAGAGGCCCCCCAGAGGCCTCCAAGACGGCCCAAGAGGCCTCCAAGAGGTCCTCCAGGAGGGCCCGAAGAGGCCCAAATCACTGATGTTCCTTAAGTGTTTCAAGGATTGTCGCATTCGCTTCTTATCAGCTTTCCGACGACCCAAGACGGCCCAAGAGGCCCCAAAGATCGCCCCCCACAGCGTCCAAGAGGCCTCCAAGATGGCCTCAGGACTGCCCAAGAGACCCCCAAGACGGCCCCAAGAGGGCACAAAGACGACACAAGAGGCCTCCAAGACGCCCAAGATGGCCTCTAAGACTGCCCTGCAGCCTGGAGCACCCCAAGAGGGCCCCAAGTCGGCCAAGAAAGACTCCCCGAACGGCTTCCGACGGCGTCAGACGGGCCAGGAGCCCACCAAGATGGCCGAAGTTGGCTCGAAGCTGCCCCAAGACGGCCCAAGAGGGAAAAGGCCAGAAACACTGATATTATGTAGGTTTTTGAAAGATTTTGACATTTGCTTCGTTTCAGCTTCCCGACGGCCCCGATACGGCCCAAGAGCCCTAAAAGATCGCCCAAAGATCGCCCAACGATCGCCCAAGAGGCCTCCAAGATGGCCCCAGAACGGCCCAAGAGGCCCCCAAGACTGCCCCAAAAGGCCCCCCAAACGGCCCAGGAGGCCTTTAAGACGCCCAAGATGGCCTCCAAGACGGCCCTGGAGCACTCCAAGAGGGCCCCAAGTCGGCCCAGAGTGGCCCCCCAAACGGCTTCCGACGGCGTCGGACGGGCCAGGGGCCCACCAAGATGGCCGAAGATGGCCCTAAGATGGCCCAAGTCGGCCCAAGAGGCCTCCAAGAGGGCCTCCAAGAGGGCCTCCAAGAAGGCCCGAAAAGGCCACAATTATTGATTGCCCATGAGTTTTTGAAGGATTGTGACAGTTGCCTTTTTTCAGCCTTCCGACGGCCCGAGACGACCCAAGCGCCCCCAAAGATCGCCCAAGAGGCCCACGACAGCCCCAAGAGGCCCCCACGACGGCCCAAGAGGCCTCCAAGACTCTCAAGATGGCCTCCAAGACGGCCCAAGAGCCCTCCAAGACGCCCCAAGAGGGCCCCAAGTCGGCCCAGAGTGGCCCCCCAAACGGCTTCCGACGGCGTCAAACGGGGCAGGAGCCCACCAAGATGGCCGAAGTTGGCTCGAAGCGTGCCCAAGACGACCCAAGATGCCTCCAAGAGGGCTTCCAGGAAGGCCAGAAAAGGCAAAAAACACTGAGTGTCCTTAGGTTTTCGAAGGATTTTGACATTTGCTTCTGTTCGGCCATCCGAAGCCCCACTACGGCAGAGCGGCCCAAGAGGCCCCCAAGACGGCCCAGGTGGCCTTTAAGACGCCCAAGATGGCCTCCAAGACGGCCCTGGAACATTCCAGGAGGGCCCCACGTCGGCCCAGAGGGGCCCCCCAACCGGCTTTCGACGGCGTCGGACGGGCCAGGAGCCCACCAAAACGACCGAAGATGGCCCCAAGATGGCCTGAGACGGGCCAAGAGGCTTCCAAGAGGGCCTCTAGGAAGGGCCGATAAGGTCAAAATCAGTTATATCCCATGAGTTGTTGAAGGATTGTGACAGTTGCTTTTTGTTCGGCCTTCCGACGGCCCGAGACGACCCAAGCGCCCCCAAAGATCGCCCAAGAGGCCCACGACGGCCCCCAGAGGCCCCCCAAGACGGCCCAAGAGGCCTCCAAGACGCTCAAGATGGCCTCCAAGACGGCCCAAGAGTCCTCCAAGACGTCCTCCAAGAAGGCCCGAAATGGTCCAAATGGCCTCCAGGCGGCCAAGATGACTTTCAAGATGCCCACGTGTTCCCCGAAGACCTTCCAAACCGATTCGGGGAACACGATAGCTTGGCAGGTCTGATCTCAACATTCGGCCACATAGGCGCTTCCAAAAAGGCAGGGGGCGGCGGTGATTCGCCGTAAGCGTCTTCGATCCGCCACCCCCTGTCGATTCATAGCAGGGGTGCCTGGCGTGCTGAATCCTCTCGGTTTTGGTGTTGGTTCTTTTTCCAAAAGAACTCCCCCTGGGGCTTCGGCCCGTCCCGCCGGCCACCCGGAAGGCCCGCAATTTTTAAGAATTTCCGCTCCAGATGGCCCAAGATGGTCTCCAAGGTGGCCACGTTGGCCCAAGATGGCCTCCAAGATGATCCAAGATGGCCTCCAAGTCCGCCCAAGATGGTCCAAGACGGCCTCCCATACGGGCCAAGAGAGTCCAAGACGGCCGAAGACGGCCCAAGATGCCCCCCAGAGGCCTCCAAGACGCCCCAAGAGGCCTGCAAGAGGCCCTCCAGGAGGGCCCGAAGAGGCCAAAATCATTGATTTCCTTACGTTTTTGAAGGATTTTCGCATTCGCTTCTTCTCGGCTTTCCGACGACCCAAGACGGCCCAAGAGGCCCCCAAGATCGCCCTCACTGCGCCCAAGAGGCCTCCAAGATGGCCTCAGGACTGCCCAAGAGGCCCCCAAGACGGCCCCAAGAGGGCACAAGGACGACCCAAGAGGCCTCCAAGACGCCCAAGATGGCCTCTAAGACGGCCCTGGAGCACCCCAAGAGGGCCCCAAGTCGGTCAAGAAAGCCTCCCCGAACGGCTTCCGACGGGCCAGGAGCCCACCAAGATGGCCGGAGTTGAGTCGAAGTTGGCTCAAGAGGACTCCAAGAGGGCCTCCGGAAAGGGAAGAAAAGGCAGAAAACAGTTGTTGTCCTTAGCTTTTCGAAGGATTTTGACATTTGCTTCGTTTCGGCCTTCCGACGGCCCGAGACGGCCCAAGAGCCCCCAAAGATCGCCCAAGGATCGCTCAAAAGGCCTCCAAGATCGCCCCAGAACGGCCCTAGAGGCCCCCAAGAAGGCCCCAAGAGGCCCCCAAGACGGCCCAGGAGGCTTTTGAGACGCCCAAAATGGCCTCCA